ACACCGCGGGGGCCTGCGCACGCTCGGTGGGGACACGTGGGTGTGCACACGCGTGTGCAAGGGAGCACTCGGCAGCAGCTGGCGGGTTCCCCCCCGCGCACTGCACCAACGCCGGGACACCCTCGCTGCCCCGGTTAAACAAACCTGATTTTACACCAATTCCTTCCCCCTCTCCCCACCCTGGCTGTGTTGGCAGAACGAGCGCCCTGGTGAAGCCTCGGCAGGACCTACTGGGGGACTTTTCTCTAATGCACTTTTTTGGTTTGTAATTCAAGAACGTGGCTATAATGATTGCCTTTTTTCCTATCAAAAAGACGCAGATAAAAGCTTATAACAGTGATGAGAAAATACGTGTTCTCCTCTGATAAGGGGTGAGGGAGGGGAAGGCATTCCGGCTGTATCAGTGCAGAACCTTGGCGGGGCCCTTGGAAATTAAACTCATTACTTAAAGATTTCACACGGCAGATTGCAAGTCTTTCTGCTTGGATGGCGCAGAGCTCTGCGCGGAAGATTTTGACAGAGAGTCCAAATTAAGCCCCAGAATAACTCCTGTGTGTCCTCTGAAGTGCAGAGCTGGCATTTATATCCAAACTTTAAAAAAAAAAAAAAGATTCGTTTATGGAATGACACATGGAAATAATTGCCGGGAGGTTATAGAAACGGACTCGTGCTGGTTGTGTCGCGGCAGTCACCGGCTGTTGGGCGCGGAGCTGCGGATGGGTGACACACGTCGGGGATGTTGCTTCTCCAGCCCGGGCGCTGCTGGGGGGCCCCTCCCTGCGTCCCCCTCCTGGGGAACGGTGGCAGATTTCGGAGCGGTGCCCAGAGACGAAGGGCTCTGGGAAAACCAGATCGCTGTCACCTGAAGAGCTTGTGGAGGGGGGCACAGGGTCCGCAGCCTCCCCCGCCTCCAGACAGCGACCTCGCTCCTCGCTCCTCGCTCCTGACCCCAGCGAGCTCTCGGGAGCACCGATGCTGAGTGCAGCTGCATCCCTGACCCCACCTCAGTCTCCCAGCAGAGAGACCCGACCTGTCCATGGCCAGGCCATGGTGTATCGCTGCTTCTGGGGCCGTCAGCAGTGAAATCATCCCTTCCCCTCCGGCCAGAGGGGCAGGAGGCAGCTCTGGCTCCCGTGGCCGCCTGTCTCGGGAGCCTGAGGAGTATCCAGCAGAGTCGATGGGGGTTCCCGGGCACCCGTAAGCGGGCAGCGGGTGATTCCCAGCAGGCTTGTGCCTCTCTCTGCCTTGCGAGCTGCTGTCAAGGGTGTCACGTTTGATAAATGAGCTGGTTTATAAATGCAAATTTGGATTTTGGCTACAAGTTTTATTCCGTGGAGCCGGAAATTGGGTGATGATTCAGGAGGACGGCAGTAGATTGCAGATTTTGGAGCATCATTTTGCTTTTCTAAACTGCCTGGCTCCCAACCTTGCATCAGAAACACTTTACTGGTGATTTGGGAAGCGAGCAGTTGTTGTTACTCTTGCTGGCTCTCTGGAAGTGTCTTCTAACGTTGTGCAGCGCTGCGCAGGCAGCGGGGCTCCTCTCCTCCTCGGGACTGCGGGGTGTGCGGGGTGAGGCTGTGCCCCGGGGACCCTCCGTGGCTGATGCCCGAGGTGGGCGCTGGCCCTGGGGTGGTGACAGCGTGCTGGGGGCTGCCAGCAGGCACTGTGCCATGCCCGGGAGGGGCTGGGGGCTCTGTAACCGCAGTGCTAGAGGCGGGGAGCCCCCACTGCTGCTCGGGCAGTGCTGCCCTCTCAGGCCTGGGCGGTTTGAGAGCCCCCGCGGGAGCTGGGTCTGCTGGGTGCAGCGCAGGGGAGGGGTTTCTGCTCTGGACTTTCCCACAAGCAGCTTTTCCCCTGGTTACAGCTCTGCTCCATCCTGTCCCATCAGACTTTCCATCTCTGCTATCTTTGCTCGGGCTGGAGGGAAGATAAGACTCCTCTCCCAGAAGACAGACCCTTTTTGATTTAATCTGGGGAAGCAGACTTAGATCAGCCCGGTTGCATTTAATTTGTCAAAGCTGCAATCCAGTTAGAAGCAGTCAAGGTCGCCCACAGGTTTGATCCCCATCTCCTGCTCCCCCAGGAGACGCTCCAGCTCCCGGCGCAGGGGGATGCTGCTGCACCGCTCCCCACGAGCACCCCCCGAGCTCGAGGGGCCCCAGCAGCAGAGCTCGGCGCTGGGCCCGGCCGCTGCGCTGGTCTGGCCGGTCCTGCTCGCCCCTCTTAGCAGCTGCATTGTTGTTTCTCCTTTTCATGGAAAGCGCCGTCCCCACGCTCCCACCTCTCCCAAAAGAAAGATGCAGATCAGTGCAATTCTGCTTACTGGGGTGCAGGAGGAACCAGAGCAGCTTTAAACTGTTTAAAACTGAGGGCGAACAACAAATCATCTTATCAAAGTGAAAATAATCCCTTGAGTTGATCCTTCAGCCTCCCTTGTCCATCAGAGCTGTATTTGCTTTGCATTGATAACCGTATGTCATTTCTCATCTCATGTCCGTGTCTGCACACATTCAGTTTTAATTCTGGTTTTAATCACTATTTTCACACTTACTCTTGGCACGCAGGGAAGTTGTCAATTATTCAGTATTTTAATAGTTTGAATACTGAATTTAATCCTTTTTCTCTTCCCCAGTAAGAGATGCTAAAAACCTAGTTCCTATGGATCCTAATGGCTTGTCAGATCCCTACGTGAAGCTTAAACTAATCCCTGACCCCAAAAATGAAAGCAAACAGAAGACCAAAACTATCAAGTGCTCCCTGAATCCTGAGTGGAACGAGACATTTAAATTGTAAGTACAAGAAAAATGTTTAAACTTGTAAACTAATTTTTCTCACCCCTAAGAATTAACGTGGTTGTATTTGCTCTGATTTAATTATTCAGAGACATTAAGCTGATTCGACTGAGAAATAATTCTTTTCGCTCCTGTAAGTGTGACTCAGAAACACTCAAACCTCTGCCCTGACCCTGATCACAGCTCAGCATTTCAGGGCAGGAACTCTGGATTCTCCGTTTGAAATGGTTGTGGTTGGGAAATTAAATATGAGAGAGCTGGATGTCATCGGAGACCATCTCCTCAGTTGGTGTCCGTGTTCCTGCGGAGCGTGGAGGGGTGTGGTGGTGCAGCGACGGCCTCCAGAAGGAAACAGTCCCTTTTCCTTTCCTCTCTTCCAGCCAACTGAAAGAGGCGGACAAAGACAGGCGGTTGTCTGTGGAGATTTGGGACTGGGATCTGACCAGCAGGAATGATTTCATGGGCTCCTTGTCCTTCGGGATTTCTGAGCTGCAGAAGTCAGGAGTCGATGGATGGTAAGAGTTGCAAGTGTTCCGGAAACACTGTGGGCAAAAAGTCGTCCTGAGCTTCCTGTGCGCGATGGGAGACGTGGGGGCCCGTCGTACTTCACCCTGAGCATCCTTCTGCTCGGGGGCACTGGGGTGAGGAGCTGCTCCGCCTCCGACCCCTGCGAACCGCTGGCTGTGGGGTGCCAGGACAGCAGCGTCTGAGCGCCCTGCCTGGGCTGGCTTCGTGTCCCCTCCTCTGTGTCCTCCTGCCCCTTGCAGGGTGGCTCGGGGGCCCGGCGGTGGCAGCCGGGGGGCTGGTGCTGCCCGCGGGCCTCGGGAGGAAACAGCATCACCCGGCAGGTGCTCCCCGAGCAAACATTTCCCAGCATTTCTGGTTGGATTCCCTCAGTTTCTGTGCCGGGGAGGCCGGTGAGCGGGTGGAGGGGCGGGGGGACACGCTTGGAGCGGTGACCTGTGGCGGGGGCAGCCGCTCCGGAGCCGGTGCTGAGGGGCACTGCTCAGTGAAAGGAGCGACTACCCAAGTCTGTAATCATCCTCACTCCTTACCGTAGGAAAGATGAGCGTGGTGGTCTGTAACACCCGCGCTGAATGGGTCCCTTCATTTCCATTTTATCTCCCCCAGCAGGACACATGCTGCCTTATTTCCCTTTTTTTTTTTCCCCAGCCACTGATGCCTGAGAGCTGTGTTACCTTTCCATGTCAAGTGTAATAATTGAAAATAGATATTACATGTCTTTCGGAAACCAAAACCTGCATGCGAGTAATTTGCATTCCACCAGCTGAGCAAACGCCCTGGACTCTGTCTCTTCCACTGCAGAAGCTGTCCGTGTCCCTGTCCGTGTCCCTGTCCGTGTCCCTGTCCCTGTCCGTGTCCGTGTCCCTGTCCCTGTCCGTGTCTCGCTTGGAGAGGGGCGGGGAGGAGGAATTTAGCGGCCACCCCCAGTTTGGGGGGCAGAGCTGGGGTTACCCCTGGGCAGAGCCTGGTGTTACCCGCGGTGGCAGGACTCAGCCTGCGAGCCTCGCCGGGCACAGCCCCTCACTGAGACGCGGCCTCTCTTCTGGGGAAAAGAAGAAAACTGTCTCTTCCCCCCCAAATTTCCAGTCACCTGGAAGGACGCGTGTGTGTCGGCTGGGGTCGGTCGCTGCCGGCTCCTGACACAGCCCAAAGTCTGATCATTTTTCTGGCCTTTTAAAAATCATGGAAGTGGAGATCTAAGTAATTTTCCTTGTCACAGCGTTTGGCTGGAATAAACTCCAGAAGAGCTCTGATGCATATTTCATCCCTAAACAGCTGCGGTTAATGGAGAAAACAAGCTCAAAGGCAGAGTCTGTCCCTGTATTATGCAAACAGTGCTTTGTCTGTTGAGCGCAGCCTCTGCAGATAACACCCAGCTGATGAACCCTCCTCCGCCTGCCCCGCCGGGGGGCTCCACGAAACAGGGCTTCGCCTGCGGCTGTGTGAAACGCCTCAGGTCCGAGTGACATTTCCGTGATTTGTGATAATGGTCACTTAAACTTTTTATCCTGGTTTTGGTGCACATCTTGGCCTTGTGCTCGGGGCCGTGGGCGCCAGCAGGCTCTGCCTGCCTTGGCACCTGGGCCGGCTGGTGGGGAAGGAGCTTGCCCACGCTTGTGCCCGTGGCTGTCAGGAGGAAGAGGAGCTTTCCCTGGGGGTTTTGGGGGCAGGCTCATGGTTTGGAAGCGGCGTCAGTGCTTTGCGGTGTTGTGGATGAGCTCTCTGGGCTGTGGTGGCTGGGGTCCCCAGAACCAGCCCTCGGCTCGGGTGTGCGCCTGGGAGCTGGCTGAGCGGGGCGGTTTGGGGGTGCGAGGTTTGGGGGGGTCTTCTAGCCCTGGGGAAGGGTCACCTGGACACCAGTACGGTGGAGGCAGAGCTGTGCTCAGAGCGTGGTCCTGCCCACGGTCCTGCCTGCAGCCCTGCCCACCCTCCTGACCCGATGTTCTCGCTGTGTCCCTCCAGGTTTAAGCTGCTGAGCCAGGAGGAGGGGGAGTATTTCAACGTCCCGGTGCCTCCTGAGGGAGAAGAAGGAAACGAGGAACTGAGGCAGAAATTTGAGGTGAATTGTTTTTTCCTGGGAACTCGGGGGTTTCCTCGCTGCCTGCCATGCCCTTGGCAAGGGGCTTTCCCAGCCCGGGGAGCACGGAGCAGGGTATGACCCATCCCTGCTCCCTCTCCCTGCTTTGCACCCGCTGCCGGGACCCTTGGCTGGTCCTCCCCGAGGCTCTCCGGGCCACAAGCTTCGAGCGGTGTTTCCAGAGGGTAAGTTGGTGAGCTTCATTTAACAAAAAAAAAAAGAAAATCACTCTGAAGATTCAAAGCTATCCAGCAATGTTTTGGCCACGTTCAATAATTCACAAGGCCCGCAGGGGAATGGGAAGTTTGTGATGCATCCGCAAGCGGTTCCTGCCTCGCTCCTGGTGCAGCGCTGGGTCCCGGCACCGCGCCAGGACGGGGCTTCCAGGGCAGGGGAGAGAAGGGAGCTGAAAGCGTAGGGCTCGCTCACACGCCGTTTTCGGATGGGATTGACAGGAAGGTTTTTAATTGTAGCACACGGAATGAGCCCTTCTGGAATATTCTTCTCTAATTTGACAACACAGTGGCCTCCCTGCGCACGTGTGTGTCGGTGTGTGGTAGAACCAGGCTGTGGATAAGCTGGGAAAGGGAACAGTCGTTTCTGGTGGATGAGGAGATGAGGGAGATGGAAATGATGCTTTGGCACTGTCGTCAGGTTGAAAATACAACAGAGAATATTGCACAGTGCGGGGTTCTGTGTGGTGCTTGCTTGACTCTGCTGAGAGCTGCTGGATCCCGTGTCTCTGCTCCCTGCGGGTCGGAGGGAGTCAGAAATCCCACCGCTTCTGAGAAGCTGCAAAGAAAGCAGCGTAGCCAACATCCCCCTTGCGTTTGCGTTGTTTCAGACGACGTCTGTCTTCCCGTTAGGGTTATGTAACTCGCAATTTCTGTTTGCCAAAACGCGTCTGGCGTAGCTGGAAGAGGAGATGCTTCGGTTGGTGTGTTTCCAGCACTGTTCCAGCGAAAGGGGGATGAAAATCCGGGCTGTCCCGGGACGACCCGACGGAACCGTGCTCCTGGTGTCAGCACGGCGTCTGTTGTTGGTACAGCAGTTCTACCCTCCTTCTGAGGTGCCATATAATCGGATTTGTTCATCTGTTTTTCCTGTCATGCTGCTGATTATGAATTAATATAATTAACTAAGATAAATTAAGATATTCGTATAATTGGATTTGGAGCTAGTCTCAGACAGAAACCCTTTCTTAGCTGTTAAATGTTGTGGCAGCCTCTGCCCTGCCCAGAGCGCTGGGACCGGGCTGGGTTGTGAAGGGGGTGACGCGGGGTGAGCCAGCACGTGGCATCGGCGCTTTGCACCGAGGGCTCCCCGGCCTCGGGGCTGCTGGAGGCAGAAGCCTGGAGCACTCAGGCAGCACCTGTGAGCCAGTGGGTCAGTTTTCAGTGACGTCCTTCCCGTGGCGTGCAGCGCTGCTCTCGGCCCGGGTAATCTGACGGGCTGAGGCTGGAGTCTGTGCTGGCCGGCCCACGGGCTGACGGCTGCGGCCGAGAGGCAGGAGGTCGGGTGGGGGACGCTGCCGTGTCCGAGCCAGCCCCTCGCTTTGTGGGCAGAGCAGCAGCGCCAGCCCGAGTGCTCGGGGGAGCAGCGTCAGGGGAGCCCTGCCCGCGGCCGGAGCCTCGGTGTGGGCTCGTCCCTGCCAGTCTGGTGTGTGCGGAGTAATCGCACGTCCCTGGTTTTTGAAGGTGAATCGACTCATCTGGGTTAAAGCCCTGTGAAAAGGACGTCAAAGTGTTGGGCTTTTCTGAGTGATATTGAGTATCTGTGGATACGGGGTTTCAGGGAGGCTCTGCAGAGCGTTATCACACCTGGGCTTCCCCGAGGGGCTGCCCAGCCCAGCTGCTGTCAGCGTCCGAGAGCATCAGCGCGCCAGCTGCACGGGGTGAACTGGAGCTGGTGAGGTTTCCCTGCCAGGAGGCTGCAAGGACAAATGTCTGTTTGCTCCTCAATAAGCCATGGAAGAAGATCTTGCCAAATGACTGATCCGGATATTACTGAATTAATGGGTCTTTGCCATTTTTCGGTATAGCTAAAGCCTACCCAGAACCCTGGGAATGACTGTGGTACATCTGGAGACGTACGCGAGATGAGCTGTGCAGAAAATAAAAGAGTCGCCCTTATGGCTGTCGACGTGAACTCCATAACTGCAGCACAGGACTGGAGAGTTAGTTCTTTTCCCTCCTTTCTTTTTTTAAAATCTCATGTTTATCTCATTTATATATAACTTTCCACTCTACCCGAGAAAAGAGGAGAGTTTTAATACAACAGTTGGCATACAACCAGTGGTCGTCAGCTCTGTAAAGAGCTACCTCCCTGCTTTGGTTGCATTTTGTGACGTTCCAGCGGTGTTAGAACGGTACGTGTGTTGGAAGGCAGATGGTGAGTTGTCTGCAGATCCGAAAATACACTGTCCGGAAGCATCACTGCACTCTGCCGAGCACACCTGCACCCTCACCTCGCTGCATCTTCCCCTTTGTGAGCAGGTCGGTGTTACAAGGAGGATCCCGGCCGGCTGCGCCATGGCTCGTGCTTGGCGTCCCGAGGGCGAGGGGGGCCCTGGAGCACCCAAGGTGCCTTTTGGGCGATGAAGGCTAAAAAGAATCCTTCAGTGGATCTGCACTAGTGCTGCTTGATCCTGCCCGTTCCTGGGCAGGAATCAATGAGACAGAGTTGAGGGGCGAGTGATGAGTTTCTATTTTGAGCGGACTTCGCATGGCAAGAGCACCCAGGTGGAAGGACCAGAAGACAGAGGGATGCTGGCAGGGCTGCGGGGGGAGCAGTGCCCCTGCCCTGCAGCCCGTGGAGCCGCTCCTGGCCGAGGTCCTGCTGCTGCGCTGCCTGCAGCCTTCTGCCTGCAGCGGGCACCTCCCCGCCCTGACGAGAAAGTGTCCCGAGACAAAAGCGCAGCGGGGAGCCTGGCGCTGCATCGCCTGCCAATTCTGCTCAGTCTTTATCAGCCGCTTGCTGGGACAGCTTGATAGATGTGAACGTCAGCTGCTCTTGCATAACTTCAGATGTAGTAAATTAGCTATGACAAATGGAGTTGGATAACGAAGGTCAAGTGCTTTTTTAAAAAAATTTTGTGAGCAGTATTTGGCACGCTTCAGTTGTAAACCTTAAAGAGGGCTTGAGGTTGTGTGAGCATCAGGAGTGTATTAAAAACAGGTTAAAGGACTTTTGTACTTGGTTGGAGAGAGGAATTGGAGACGCTCGACAGCAAAAGTGAGACCCTTCACTTGGGAGTGATGATCTTTACATCTCCCCGACTCTTATTTTGGGCTTTTTCCTGGAAAGACCTTTCCCCCTCTTGGCCAAGCTACACGCTGAGCCTGTTTTATCAGGGAAGTCGCGTTGCGTTTCTCTCTTCATCTCGTCTCCCATGAACATACCGTGATGCTGCAAATTCAGGTCAAGTGCCAGACTGGCTGACTGAAGCCAGCCCTCTTCACACGCGGGCTCGGGAGCAGCTGGAGGCAGCGGGAGGGACCTGGCGTTGCGCTGGCGCTTGGGTGCCGGGTGCTCGCTCGAGCATCCGCCGGCACCACTGGTGCCGCTGGGCCTGATGCCGACCGCTTTGCTGGGATGAAGCAAATGAAAATCCTCTTCCTCCCCACCTCTTCGCGTTGCTCCTTTCTGCCCTGCTTGGGACTGAGAACCTCCCCTGCTTTGGTGTTTGACCGGGTGCTGTGGGCAGCCCCAGCGCTGCCGGGCCGCAGAGGCGCGGGCGCATCGGCGGCGTGCAGAGGTGCTGCTGCATGTCACTTCGTAGAAGCATAATATTGCCCTTGGATTTTATTACTGCTTGTTTTCACAGAGGTTAATTTAGTGTCAGATCTGATCTGACAAGATTGTTTTTCAGCTGTGATAGTCTTTAGGAAGCTTTCACAGAAGATGACTGTTTTGCCTGCTGATGAGTACACGTTTCTTTTGGAGATCGCTTCGAAGCAGAGCGGGGGGGAGGATCGCTGAGGGCAGCGTCCCACGCCCCAGGGCTGGCGGCGTGTTGGCGCAGAGGCCGCCCTTGTTCGGTCGCCCACGTCTGGGTCCTCTTTGGCCAAGTTCAACGAGCAGCTTCGCTCGTGCCAGAGCCAACGGCTTCGGCTTCGAGAACGGCGAAGGGGCCGGCGCTGAGTGCCCGGGGCGGCACGCGCTCTCTGACCGGAGATGAGGTTGTTTTTCACTTGGGTAGGATCTGGGGGGCTGCCGCGCCGAGCCACGCGGTGCCGTGGCTGTTTCACCTTTGGCGTGACCGGTGGGGCGAGCCTCAAAGCTGCGAGGACTCTGCTGTTGTCACCCGAGCTGGTCCGTGGTGGAACGCTCCGCCTGGGCATCCCCTTCTGCTGGGGCCGCTGCAGGAGCCGGGGGGGCGCAGCGAGGAGAAGCCCTCGTTCTCGGGGAGGGGGGGCTGCATTCCCGTTGCCGTGCCGCTCCGCTCGCCGCTGCCCCTTGGGTGGTTTGAGCCCCCTCCCCGGGGCAGAGCTGCCTCGGCAGTTGCGATGTTTGCAAAGCCTGGAGAGCGTTCCTTTAGATTCAGTGCAGGAGTTTTTCCGATGTTTGCAGGTGCTGCAGGTGACCTTGAATGGAGAATTTTACAGCACGCAGAACCGCACAAGAACCAATTAGCAGCAGCAAAGGCTTGGAGATTACTTGTGCGGCTCCTATCTGGAGGAGCTGTGAGCAGCAGCCAAATTGAACTGCTGGAATCGGGTTAATGGAATTTCATGCTAGACTGAGCTCAGTGCAAGCCTTACACTGTCGCATATTTCTAAAAATTAAAACCGAATAAATCGTGAGATAGCTTTTACAAACTGTGGTTCAGCAAATTAGATAGCCCCTGGACCAATGAGGAGGTGCTGAGCCACTGATGAGATTTTTGTGTTTAAAAATGTGGGGGTTTGTGAGGCTCCTTAATAAGCAATTGTGGTTGCAGCAGCTTGCGCGATTGCTTGGGGATGCAGGAGGAGTGCTTTCTATTCTGGTTTGTTCAAAATGGATTTGTAGCTTCCTACGTTCAGCCTGAACTGGCACGGGAGTGCAATTCTCTTCAATATCAGATAGTAACGGAGGTGGAGCTGGATAAAAAGTTCTGTATTTTACCTTAATGTATTTATATTCACTAGTCCTTTTCTGGTGGGGTGAGAGACAGAAGTCAGCTTTGAGAAGACAAAGCTTATTTAAGCCTCTGTTTTATGCCTCGGGTGACCCAGAGCACGTTACGGGGTCGCTCCCCGGGCGCACAGGCTCCGTGTCCTGCTGCCCGCGGGGTTCCCAGCCGTGGTTCCCAGTTGCTCTCACAGAGGTTAACTGGGACCCAGACGAACCACAGTGTGCTGGGGCTGGTAACATCTCCAGGGCCCTTCTCGGTGCCACGCTTGGGGAAAAGGTTCCCGCAGCTCAGGGCAGGGTTTGACCTGGACAAGAGCGGATTAACGTGGGATTTCAGGAGCACGGGCTGGCTGTGTAGTGACCTTTCTCCACGCTGTTCTCAGTCATTGTTTCTCTTTTCTCCCTGTCCCATCTCCGTCTTTGCAGAGAGCCAAGATTGGAACAGGGTCCAAGGCTGCGGATGAGAAGACCACAAATGCCATTTCTAAATTCGACAACAACGGGAGCAGAGATCGGATGAAACTTTCGGATTTCAATTTCCTGATGGTGCTGGGCAAAGGAAGCTTCGGGAAGGTGTGGTACCGCAGGGGCCTTTGCCCTTTCTGTGTTTCACAGACACGTTTCTACCGTTTCTGAGCTGCGGCTCCCCCAGTGCGGCCTGTCCTGGGAGCACTGGTGTCCCAGTGGTGGGAGCCCAGTTTGGCTCCTTTCCGGCCTGCGTGGCTGCTGGGTCACAGTGACGAAGGTCTGAGCAGAGCCTCACAGAAATCACACGGTCTCTTTTGGGAAGCAGGGCCTGGGCTGCGTCTTCGAAGCTCTTTTTTTATGTGGCCATTTTTTTCTCTAATAATTGCAAATATATGTGAACGTTTTAATTAACTTTCCAGACTGGTTATGAGTGGTAACAGAATTTCATTCTTCTAGTAATTACGTGACTTGGAGCCTTCATTTTTCTTGGGGTGTTGCCAACTTTGTCACGCTTTCCATTAGAAATCCCAGTCCTCGGGGGCTGCTCGGGCGTCGCGGCCCGGAGCCGCAGGAAGGTGTGAGCTGCTGTGAGCGACGCCGCCCTCATTAGGGAATTGCCTTAATTGTGGGGAGCGTTGCTCTGCTTTCGGGCTCATCTCTGGGGCGGAGGCGAGGAGGGGGTGCCGGGGGAGCGATGCTCACCCATCGCCTGCTGAGCACCAGGAGCGTTTGAGCTCGGCGGGGGGTGTCCCAGCCTCTCCAGGCAGGTGTTTGTTCCCTTTCTGGAGGTGGAGAGCTCAGAGATCCACTGAAACATCTGTGACAAGAGAACGGGGAGTTCTTGGTGGTCCCCGGCACCCAGAGCATCAGCCAGCCCTTCCCTCGCCGCCCGTGCTGCGTTTTGCATCGGTGCTGCAGTTTGGCAGCCGGGGGAGCAGGAAGGCCCCGTGCACCTCGCGCTCAGTAACGTGTACATATCCCCGTTCCTGCGTCGCTTTTGCCCCCTCTTCTCTCCCTCCCAGCACCTAATCCCTTCTAAAGTCTGTGCCTGGCATCTGGAAACTCTGTAGTTGTGGGGTTTTATGCTCGTCTTCTTTCTTTTAATTTGAGAAACATTAGCAAAGTCTTCAGTCGGCTTATATAAGGGAATGTGTGACAGAAACTGTTCCCTGGAACAGAATGTTATAAATATGCTAATTAGCGCTTATTAAAACAGCACGTTGGTTTCTACGGTTAGCTGCAGCCTCACCCTCACGTGTGCCCGCTCCCCCGCGGCTCTCGCACATACAGGCCAAAGTCTCCTGAACACGCTCAATCCTCTCCATCTCCCGTACGGGCCCTGGAAGCTGCAGCATAACCCAAAGCTCCATCACACAAAATCACCGGGTTTCTGCATTTTAGTCCCTGTAGCCCATCGTTTCCCTGAGATAAGCGACGAAGTGCCCGGCCCCCAGCTTGGCGCAGGGACCCCCCCGCCACGCAGGGGAGCAGCAGCGTCCCAGCAGGGTCCCCCACACAACTCGCTGCCCCCCCACCTCGGAGCAGCGACAGATTTAACGGACTCCAAGCCCAACTCCAATATTCACATCTCTTAATACGACAGGCTCAGAATAATCTGCATCGGGAAGCTTTTCTATTACGGAAGCAAAACTGTGCAACGCCTTGATGACATTTTAATTTGCTGCAATTTCCCACTTTATTCAGCAGTCTTTTCCCGCTAATAAGATACTTGATCAAAGCCTAGACCCGTAAATGTACATTTGCCCTTGTCTGACATCGGCCACTCGCTGCCCTGCCACACTCCCCCCCACAAGGCGGTTTGGACACCCCCCGCCTCAGCACCCTGACCCCCGCCCCAGCCAGACCCCGCGCGCCGGCGGGCGCGGATGTGCCATCCCCTGGGACTGCTGTCGCCTTCACGACTCTCGTTTCCTTCAGCAGAAACTGTGGGGTCCTGTTGAGCCCAGGGCCGGGGGAGAGCGGCACCATCTCACTGCGCCGCTGCCCTCGGGCTGGGCTGCCCCTAAACCTCCGTCCCAGTGGGATCCAACCCAGGCACACAGACAAACCCACACCGACCGCCTCCGGGGAATCCTCTCCTTGTATTTAAGGCGAAGGCGAGAGTTGTAATGATCTTGGAGCCAGGTAAAACAACGTCAAGGATCTGCAGACTCACTGGGCATAAATAACCAGAGTCCCCGAGTGACCGGCGTAAAAACCGCGCAAGTCAATTAAGCATCTTTAAGCAGCACCCAAAGGGAATAAACTTGCTTTGGCAATTTGACACGTCTCGGCGCACTGCTAGGTACCCAAGCAGCTCAAG